TCGGCCCGGCGCTGCAGGTGCTGATTTTCCCGTGGCACCCGGGGCTCAGCCCCGACGGCTCGGCCCCCGGGAGAGCCCCAGATGCCCGGCCCGGCCCACGGCCGGAGCGGAGCTGTTCCCGCACGGTGCCCAGGCGGATGGGAACGGCCCGGGTGAGCCAAGGTGCAATTATTACTCATCATATACTGTACATCTCCCCCTCTCTCCCATTTTTTTTTTTTTTCAAAGCTGCCGCAAAGTGGGAGCAATATGTTGCATGCATGCTAATTGCATTAACCTAGTTAGACACATTTAGTTCCCTAGCGCGGATGGCATGGATCTATTCCAATAGCAATTAGAGGAGCTACTTACCCACACAAACACGCCGAGGCTGGGCCGGGGGTGGGGGGCTTTGCTTATTTATTTGCTCTGTTTTCGTGCTAGCCCGGGGCCGCCCGGCTGCGAGCCTCGCCCCGTCCGGCGGCGGGCGGGAGGCGGGGGGCACCGGGGTCATTGAACTTAAACGGGGCTCTTTGAGGGAGAAAAAGAGCCGACCTATAATTCGATCTTGTCCTGTATTAGGACCTCATTAAACACAGAAAGTCGCTTTTGCACAAATGCTTCCATCAGGCATGTAATCTCATTACACTCATTAGAAAGTCAAATGTTAGTCGGACTTCAGCTTAATTATAAGTTATGGAAGTGTTGTACCGTTTCCTTCTGTGTATAGCCCCGTCCGTCTCGATTGGCTTTGGTGATGCGGTCCCCCACAATTAAAACACTACAATCATTGTTATGTGGCACCGTTTCTTTGGCGTGCCACTTCGGTTTTTGTTTTTTTTTTTTTTTTTTTTTGTGATTCAATGCTTCAACACATCCTTTAGTATGGTGCAGATGAAGCGGAAGAGCCGGCCTTCGCATGTAAAACACCAGGGTCTCTATCTTGTCACTCTCCCGTCTTGACTTGGCAAGTCCCTTTAAACGCAATCTTCAAAGAGACTGACAGCTCCTTTTGACTGACTCATCATCCATTCACCCCAGCGCAGCGCTCCTACGACAAAATCCCGCCGCACAGGGCAGGAGGAAAGTGCCTGTGCAGGTCCCCCGGCCCGGAGGGACCCGGTGGGACCCGG